CACAACTCCAATATTGAATGAATGCAGATTTTACCTAGTTTCTCAAATGTATTTGCTAAATCATATCTTCATCTTTTTGGGCTTTATAGGTTTATTTGATATTTCGAAGTCCCACCACCCACTACCTCTTGCCTTCATTCATCATCTATGTGATGCTGCACTGTTTGCCTTGCCTGGTTTAATATTTTGTTTTCCCAGTAATATTTAAAGTGCTAAATGCCAATCATGCTATGCCTACCTGTTCACCCTTAAAATTTGGCGGAATTCTTATATTTTTGTTCTGATCGAGAAGATCAATACAATTAGATGCAATTGTTCTGATCATTTTGTTTGAAACACTTTCTGTACTTGTCCGTCCCAAGTTGTGATTACTTTCCTAATTTGAATACATTCCACTTGTCCGCCCCACTTTGGCATTCACATTTTTGCTTGGCTCCAATTTTACTGGTTTATATTAGTCGACTTTGTTTAGTGAATGATACTGCTACCATTCTTATACGCACAATTTGCAATAAGTAGTTTGTCTATACCTACAGAAACATTAAAAACGACTTTGGTAAGGGTGAATTATGTTGAAAGTGTGGAATTGAGTGAAATTGTAAAAAAAAAAAAATTGGCTGATACTATTAAATTGCTGAATGACAACACATAATTAAAGTACATTTTATTGATAAACTGAAGAGAAGAATACTACTTGTACTTCGTATAACAAAAAGTTATAGTAGTCATTTATAACAGCATCAATCAGTTTAATTTATTGCTAGAAAACGTACAGTACATCTGTTAATCTCTTAGTGTACAGATAACTTGGAAAAGTGCTATCAAAGGGGTGCAGTGTCCACAGTGATTTGGGCACTATGCATATGACAAGGTCTGCCTCATCTAGACTCGAATTGATCTGTTATGTAATCTCTTTTAGAAAGCTCAAAATGGGGATTTAAACGGAACCCAGGGGTAGGTGTGCAATACTCAAAACCAACATGTGTTAACCAGGCTTGGGTCAATCTGATCAAAATAACATGAACGGAATAAAGCAGTCTGTATTGGGACACTTGTATTAGCAGTCAGTTTCCTCAGTTCAAAAGGACATCACATTCTTATCATGTACTCATAATGTTCTCACTTCTCAGCACATTTATACTCAGAAACTTTGAGGAGCTCGAACTATATTCTTTAATTTGCTACAAAAGATATTCAATGGGAATTGTTAGTCCCTGTTTCTAACAATCATAACAGTGAAAAAGAAGCAGATAGAAAGATATCGAGATGACCGTGAATCTGGTATACCGTGAACAGTAGCCGATGTTCTCCCTCGAGAGAGCAGTGTAAAACCTAATCTCTCTATCTCGCCTCTATTCTTTAAAGCCTTTTGTTTTCCATAAGTTAACTTCCTTTTATAGGAGAGGATGGCTAACTTATGGGTTACAAAGAAGCTAATGGGCTGATATACATTTATGACCCATATTACACATTTAATAAATAACTACACAAATACAAAGATATTTAAATAGATTCGAAACCATAAAATATTCCCAACAATCTCCCCCTTCGTGTTCAATCGTGTTGAATCAGCATTGCAGCGCATATATCTTTGTCTTTGTTGTTATTCAGCTTACTTTTGTCTTTGAACTTGACTTCTTGAGAAGGCTTTATGAAGAAATCTTTGCAATCTCCCCTTTGATGTCTTCTTTTCAATTTGATCTTTGATGTCGAGAGTTGAGGAATCTTTTGCTTGTAATCCTTGCCTTCCAGAAGTAGCTCTTGATCAGCTTGAGTGAAGTCCGAAGACGTCTTTAGAATGAATGTTTTGATAATTTTCAGGCGTGCACGGGATTCATCTTCAGTACACGAGTATTTGACATCTGTCTCCTCCACAGTGTAGTCTTTTTGACTATTTGAAGTGAATGCGCTTGAGGAGATCTTGTCGGTGGCACAACGAAAAATGATGGTTGACTTGTGAGCGTAGCTGTCCATTTGATTCGTAGCTGGTCTGGCAATTGAGTTGTTGAGATAGTAGAGAAAGTATTGGAGGAGATAAGTGTCCGAGAATGATTTGTTGAGAGTTAACAGCATGTGGACCACTCTCCCCCTCATGACGATCCGATGAATTCCGGCGTCATGCCTTTATTCTTTTATTCGAACTGGGAAACAAAACAGAAAAAACAAACAGAAAGTTAGAGGGATAAAACCGGAAGCACTGAGGTGTTCCGTTATCACAATATCAATGTAAACACTGATGTGTGGCCTGTATAAAATGATAGAAACATTAAAGCTCTATCAGGACTTCCAACCAATCATTATGAAGCATCTAAAGATGTCACTCTGGTTGTTATGGCATGATCATAAAGATCATCATTGAGAAACTTGTAGCCCCCCGAGGTCATGTAGACACTCGTTATCATCACCATAGAGATAAACTCTAAAGCAATGGTCTGAGAATGTTGGTGAATCTTATGTTGCAACAGCAGGACTTCCTTCCAATCATTGGTCTACATCTGTAATAGATGAGCCCTATGGAAGTTCTCGTGGGTCATGAAGACCTGAAACTGACTCTAAAAGTGCGTCTATGTCCTAGAAAATTCAAAACATTTGGGAGTGAGGTAACTAGACACAACGTGATCAATGAAAGTTCAGTGGCATGGGGTTGAGGCCACTGTAGTCAGTATCACTTGTCTGTTGGGAGACAAGTGAGTGGTCTTGGGTAGGGTTAAGCATGCACTGTTGGACAAAATGCAGTGACTTCTACCCGGGATCTGATTAAATCAGTCCCGAACCTATGGGGATTGTCTAGAGTATTTGAGTGGCTATGAGTAAATGTTCAATTGATAGCAGACAATTGAGGTAGCAGACTTATCATTGATTAATGTTTTCTTGCTCACTTGACCTTCTATTTCCTAACGCTCATAATATTCACTCACTCATTCGCTCACTCACTTACTCTCGGCTTTGTCCCGTGGGTAGGCTTAGTTGGGTTTACTAAGGCATAGGGACATGTTCTCTCATTAGTTTCTTGTTTTCTCTCTGTATCCCTCTCAACTGGAGCACTCGGTATGCTTTGTCAATGTTAGGCACCGGGGAGGAGAACTTTGAAAACTCCCCTAAAATGTTGCATCCTTTGAGAGATTCCTTGCTTTGTCAGTGTAAGGCGGCAGAAGGATAAAACTGAAACTCCCCCTCAGAATGTGCAAGGATAGATTGCTCACAGCTTGTCATACTTGCCATGTGTGTGGAGTAATCTGAACAGGTACCACACATGACAGTTTTCCCTGAACTCATCATCTAGAATTTCAGCACATTGATGATCACATAATTTTGATGAGTTAGGGGAGGCTTCAGTTGTTGATTGTTGATTGTTGTGGAAAGACCGTTGATGCGAGGTTGATTGAATTATCTATGATTTCTGGACCTTTGTGGTGTAGTTTAGAAAAGCTTTGACCTTTGGTTTGACTTTGGAAGGATTGATCGGATTTGCCCCAGTTTTGACCTTGACATCTGTGATTGACAATGTTTCTCGAAAAGCGAACGATATCTCGATGTTGAATATCGAGAACAGGTGGAATTTTTAAAAAAATTCTAAGGCAAAAACTCAAGATCCCAATCTCGAGATTTAAACTTCGAGATCAAGATCTTGAGGTTTAAACTTCGAGATCTTAATCTCGAGGTCTAAACTTCGAGATCTTAATCTCGAGGTCTAAACTTCTAGATCTAAACTTTGAGATCTTAATATCGAGGTTTAAACTTCGAGATCTTAATCTCGTGGTTTAAAATTCGAAAACTTAATCTGGAGGTTACCTCGAAGAAAAATGAAGAAATCCACCTGCAAATAAAATGTTTGGAACATCGAAAACTTTGAAAATTCGAAAACCTCAGAATATCGAAAACTTTACCTTTGAAAAAATCAGAACATCGAAAACTTCTTTAAAACTTTGAAAAGCTGAGAATCATCCAGAAATCCTATAATTAAAAACTTCGAAATATTCTGAACTGAAAAAATATTAAGCTTCGAAAAATTATGAGATTCAAGAAACTCAAAACTTTAAAAGATTCTAAACATCGAGAAACTCCTAAGATCGAAATCTGCAAAACATCAAAGATCTTCCAAACATTAAAAAACCAGAGTATCGAGATTCTAAACCTCGATATCTTGCAAAACAAAAACTTCGAGTTTTGAAATTTTGAAAATTGTTTTGAAAAGCCCTTGATCTCGAGATTCCACCTGTATCAGTTTAGGGTCAAAATTCTTCCTGCAGCTTGCAGAAACTGAAATATCGAGATCCCTATATAGAGATCTTAAAAACGTAAAACTGCAGAAAGCTAAAAATAAGGTATACTACTGAATCGTTATGGAAAGACAATTTCAACAATATAACTTTTACAAATTTTTGACCCAAAAAAGATTACAAGAGGTTAAAAGAGAAATCATCGAAAAACTTCCAAACACCAAGCTTCGAAAATGGCATATCCGAAAAATCACAGATGGATTCAATCTTTTTCACGCCTCTGCTCTGATACCACATGTTAGTCCCTGTTTCTAACAATCTAACAATCATAACAATGAAGACGAAGCAGCTAGAAAGATATCGAGATGACCATGAATCTGATATACCGTGAACAGTGGCCACTGATCTCCCTCGAGAAAGAGAGCAACGTAAAACCTAATCTCTCTATCTCGCCTCTGTTCTCTATAGGAGATGATGACTAACTTATGGGTTACAAAGAAACTAATGGGCTGATATACATTTGTTGCTCATATTACACATTTAATAAATAACTATACAAATACAAAGATATTTAAATAGATTGAACACCATAAAATATTCCCAACAGGAATTCCAACCACAAACAATTTGAGACTTTCCAGATGCATACAATTTCGTGCAACTTTCATCCAAAGTATATCTGAATGTAATGCTTAACAATCATGATGAATAAGGCAAACCAAACAAATCAAGTCAAAATGGTGTCCAAGGCGACGAGAGAATCCATGTTGAATATAATTGGCAATATTTTCGAGAGACCTTTTTATCTAAAAGACAAGAATATGAAATATGAATGATCCGCGTCAAACATATTATCATCCAATAGGTACTTGGGATGTAGTAAAATCATCCACATGGAAATGTGATTTTATGAGGTCATCAGATCGAATAAATGAAAATACAAGATTCATTTTTCTCAACCACGAACCTTCCAACTAATTGTATATATTCGTTCAATCAACAGTCAAACTACACAGGTGTAAGTTGATCCAAAACTTCCATCACTTTGAAAAGAATAATGAGAGTATTGTATAGTATGCTACAATTTTTTGTTTCCCTATCCATGTAGCAATCGTGTCATATATGATCAAATGTCCCTTTGGAAGAGATTTATGATCCAACAAGTCCCTTATGGCGAGCATAATATACAATTAGTATAAAAAGAAATACACAAAAAGTCCCTGTGACAATGACCACCTGCCAATAACAACAACATCTACCGTTAATCGCAAAGACCGAAACAGAAGGAACCTGTTTGGTACCCAGAAGTGTCTGATTTTTATTTTTACTTAAAAGCAGAATAAATAAGCATCTGACTAGCTTTTTTACACGAAGCTTCTCACTTACTAATTTGCCCAAAATTGATTTTACCGAATGCTTTTATGTTTGTTTAGAAAACTCAGTAGATTCAACCACGTTAGGCACATAACCCCACTTACCCAACAGGCTCACGGTATAAAAAATGTGTGGTATTGAAGAGAGCTAGCTGCTCACCCATTTAAACATGTATCCATGACTTTCATTCCAAGAAAATGGGATGTTCATTCCAAATATTCCAGCCACCAAAGAATATATAGACATAACAACCGTTCCTGAACTGAGGAAGAGTTCTAGCTGCAGGCCATATAATACAGAGAAACTAATATTAGCAAGTTTTGTATTATTTTTACATTAGGAGGCAGGCACACTATGTGGCTGTGTTTGGAATACAAACTTACATGTGGTCTTTATATTTCTACAAGTATTTATATTTCTCAGTCTTCATATATTAGAAAAATATCAATAAAACATGCTTTAACAAATACTCCCTCCGTTTCCAAAAGAAAGTCACGGTTTGACTTCACGATTATTAAGGAAATAAATTGAATTTAAAACACTGACACTGTTTCGCACTGTTTGGTACTGTTTGGATGTAGATTTCTTTGCCAAATAAGGAAATAAGGGAAGTGTGACTTTGTTTTTGAAACATCTCAAAAAGGAAAGTGTGAGTTTCTTTTAGAAACGGAGGGAGTATCTAAGACCCATTTATAAAGTTGAACTGACCCCCCTCCCCCCTCCCCCTCCGCTCTCGAAATTTTTTTCCTCCCAAAATCCTTGTCCATTTCCCTCCCTATTTCTTTCCCTTGCATTTTCCAGGTTCCTAACGAATATACGAACACTTTGTGATGAGAGGCACAAGCATACACTTCTTAATAAATACCTGAATGAGCTGATTTCGGTGATTGTCAAGCTGGTAAGACAAAAAGGCGTAGCTGTTTTAGATAAGTTTGTACTCAACTGTAATCTTACTTTATTGTAATTTCAATACCTGAATGTTAATGTAATCTTCTGTATTATCAATATATTCACGTAGCTGCAAAATAAGTAAATAAAGTAATCGTAGCGAGTCATTATAACTCAACAAACTGTAACAAACAAAGTTATATTTCAATGACCCCTTTTTTTCTGTAGCTAATAGCAACTATTATTATAAACTTCCGAAATATCAAGATCCCTCAACTATTCTTTACCAGGAAACTATCTACAGTGACTTCAAACTATATCATTCTAAGTTTAGCAATCGCCTAATGTGACCGAGATAATACAAATAACTGGACTTGGGTTTATTTAAACAAAAACTAAATAAGAGAAAGGATTATAAATTCCACAAGGAAATGATCATGTTCTAAGAACATGTACTCCCTCCGTCCCACTATCTTTGTCCCAAACTTCTTCTCTGTTTGTCTGAAAACATATTTGGTAATATTTGTGGGGTTCAAACTCATTCATACTTTACAAATTCAACATCAGCCACATAATTCCATTTCATTTATATGCATGTCGCATTCTCATATGTCAAAGATAGTGGCACAGAGCTAGTATATGGTACTCACTGCGTCCAACTTTGAGACATCGGGGTGGTTCAAAACAGAGAAAACTGAGATTGTGGTTGATATTGAATTTGTAAAGTGGATGTTGAACCACACATATATGGTGTGAGACACATGATGGGACGGATATAATTTAAGATAACGGACAACATATTGGGACAGAGGGAGTAAATCTTAACCAAAATTTGTTTTGTAAAAATGAAATATGTAGTACTCACATGAAACAGACAAATGAAAAAAAGAGAGTGAAGTCCACTTACTGTGTTTAGCTTATTCAATGTTCCATCAATTTGCATGAAGTAAGCCTGTAATAGAAGCAGCAGCCACTCAAATTTCAATAATAAATATTACAAATTCCTTTTGTCAAGAAAAATGACACTCCATATATGTATTATACACACACACACATGGGAAAGGCTCCAATGCCAATTCTGAATGAGGCCTAAAGCTTTAAAAGTGGTACTCTCCCCTTTTGTGCCACTATAAAAAGATATCGGTACAACTCCATAATGCAGATGGCTCCATTCCAATCCAGGCACTTGACACCCTTTTCCACATCGCACACACATGGCACATGTAAAACGTACAATGATCCGAAATGGAAAGAGCAGAGGTCAATGAATTTTTATGGTATATATTGCATGAAATAGTAATAGTATGCAATTACCAACATAACTCTACTATTTCCATTTTACAAAAAAGAAGGTTCACATAAAGCAGATGGCTCCATTCCAATTCAGGCATTTGACACCCTTTCCCACATCACACACATACAGCACATGTAAGCAGTACAATGATCCAAAATGGAAAGATCAGAGGTGGATGAATTTTCATTGAACATATTGCATGAAATAGTAATAGCACTATGCTCCCAACTAGACCCTGCCTAGGCGCTAGGCGGTGGTTGGGCGCCCTGATTTTAGTCTAGGCATCCTAAATAATTGGTTGGTGCCTAGTTGAATTAGCCGGTCGCCTAGTTGCCTGCCCAGAGCACCTAATGGGCCGCCTTGGGCGTCTACATTCACCAAACATTTTTTGCTTTTTTTATTAAGATGAAAACCATATATGTTTGTATATATTCTTAAATTTTAATATTTATAACATAATGAAGTTAAGTGATTAGTTATAGGGGAAGATAATATAGATTCCCCAAACTTTGAATATGTGTGAGATAAATCCCAAACTTGCATAATATATATATATATATATATATATATATATATATATATATATATTGTTGAGGTTTATTCCGTCAACCCAAAGGCCCAACACGTACCCTTGGATCTCGAGTGGAAGGTTTTGAGGAATTAGGTGATTAAACAAGCAAGAGAAGATATATTTCAGTCGTAGGGAGTCTAGATGAGAGGCCGATTACAAGTTACTTCGCTACAAAGCCCTGAGGCCGTTTGTCCAGCTGTTAGGAGCTGATTAAAAATGCTATATTGCTAGAGTGCTAAGTTGTCAACCCCTTACTATGAAATAAATGTTACAATTTATACTAATAAGGGGTAGGTGAGGTTGCTGATGTGGTGGGCTGTGGATGGCTAGCTCCCAACCACCAAATCTATCGCACTTAATGATGTTCCCGCCAATATCTTGGTTTCCCACCATAGCCAGGGCCGAGCGTCTTGATGGGCCTAGATGGAGGATCTTTGATGGGCCAAGGATGAGATTTCGTCCGTAATTACTGGGTGCGGATGAGCGTCTTCTCTACAGCCAGTTGGGCCCCTGGAATGTATAAGAGTTTGTTCCCTATGTCCTGCCTCCAAGGCTTATGGCCGAGGTCCTCAGAGCGTTAGGTGGGCTGTCTTGAACAACGGGGATTGGGGGCCGTACATCTCCTAATGGAATGGACTGCCAAAGGATTCATAAGGGTAATGGGCTGATCAGCCTCGGACTCATTATCCCAACACACACACACACACATATATACATATACGGATAGGGAAGAGTTCTTATGAGAACCCCTATTAAAATGGGAACTCTTTTTAAAATGAGAACTTCTAATCTCCATCATTCATTTTTACAATCAATGGATAATAATGACAAGGTGGCAATTTTGTAATTATTTAGCACTAATTGCAAAAAAGCCCCATTTGAATTTGGAATAATTATGAATATGACCCCATGTGAATCATAATCAATGATTGCAATAAATGAAAGGTTGAGATTAAAAGTTCTTATTATAAGGAGTTCTCATTTGAGGAGAAGTTCTCACTAGAACCCTCCCCTATACGGATATACCCCAAACTTTAAATAAAAAGTTATTTTCGCACCATGTTTATATGTTTTTTACAAATATAAATTCATTGCAATAAGTACACAATTTAAAATACTCTAATCTTTATTTAAATGCAGTTAGCATTCTAAAATTTCATTTGTGAAATAAATAAAATTACTTTTTTTTGAAAGAAAATAAATAATACGGAGTATTAATCTGGTACAATCTAATTTTAAATAATTCCTCACAAGTGCTTTGTGTATTTTTATTATATACTTAACACCATAAACTTACATTTGTGAAAAATTCATATGATCATGATGTTAACATAACTTTTTATATAAAGATTGGGGTATATATATATAATATATTACATGTGCAAGTTCGGGGTACTTACCTCACACCCCCTTCAAAGTTTGGGATATTTAAATTATTTTCCCCTTAGTTATAATATACGTAGTATTATTACATGCAAATTCCATTATTCATGCATGTTAATGTGTGTGTGTGTATATACACACACACACAAACACAATATTACTTATCATATTTATATAAAAATATTGATAAAAAATAATTTCTATGTCTCCGACTAGCCCCCGCCTAGGCGCTAGACATTGGGTTGGCGCCCCACTAACGCCTCTTAGAACATTGAGTAATAGTATGCAATTACCAACCTCACTCTACTAATTCCATTTTACAGAGAAGGGGGTTCACATATGGGGAGCAATCCACTTTTTCCAACATTATGTATGAAGAAAGCTCTGCCTTTTTAAATGCTAGAAACAGTCATTTTTTTAGTAAAAAGGCACTTGAGAACTTCCAGTACGCGTAAGCATTTTTCTATGTATTTCTGTTATGAAATACTAACAATGTCCTTTTATATGATATGGATTTTAGTTGAAATCACTAGCATAAATTTAAAATCAGATAGAAGCAATAAAACATTTAGCACCAAATTTACTCGAGTAGAACTCTTACTTCTAGTAGCATCTCAAGATCTTCAATGTCATTTTCATCCCCTCGGACAGTTGCAATACTTGCCCTACTAGCTCTTGATATCTTTGAGCCAATTGTCGGTGAAGCCAGAAGCCAACTGGCAGATACACTTACAGGTGAAGAAGCACCAGCAAGTTTTCTAGACAAATAAAGATCTGCCATATCATCATCATCGTCCAGGAGTTGTTCAAGTTCATCTCTCACCTACAATCAAGCAGAGAATAAATCAACCAATGATGAATGAGGTCCACTATAATTTATCCAAAGAACTACTAAAGACCCTCTCGCCCCCTTCCAAGCAAAGAGCCGTGTTTCAAAAACTTCTTCTGCTTCAAAAAAGATTCTCAATTTAAAAGGCAGCATTTTTTAGTCCTAGGTTACACATAACATGTGCAGTGCATGCACAGCCATGCTGCAAGTGGTTGAAAACAATTACTCATCAATCTTGGAAATAAGTTCTAGGGCTAAGAGTAAACATTTAAAAAATTGCAAAAAAGTTCCGCCATGATAGAGTTGATTCAACAAAGGTCTTAACTTACCTTCAAACGTGCCTCTTTTTTGGGACGGAAGATGTATATTAAACCCCAAAACTCAGGTAAGATATTTAATTTTTGAACTATATAAATTCAAATGAAGCAAAGCAAATCCCGAGCACTAGTTACTTTATTAACAAAATCAACTATGAGAAGCCTGGAAGACAATACATTAAGCATCTCTCTTGTGTGAACAAGAAAGCTACTTTCAGTGGGGCCAATCAGATTTATCTTGAAACCATTGCTGAAGCACTAGAATACTAAAACTAACCAAACAAATTGCAAATATATTTTAAAGACAGTGGCAAGCTACATATCACATATTTCATTTACCGACTGTATAAAATCATTCCATCATGCAAATACAGTTCGCTATAAAGGTATTTTCTTTAGAACAAAAATTTTGAACCAAACTATAAATACAACATAATATGTGCTTATACACCTATTTTCATTGATACCCAATCTAATAGGTATTATTACCTTTTGCACACGAGCAGTCAACCTTGTCATTTGACTCTTTAGCTTCCGAACTCTGTCCAAATTTTTGCTGCTAATCTGCAAGAGCAATAGATTGGAAAAGATACAGCACAAAGAAAATGATTGGGTACATGAATTAACAAGGTTTCTAATAACAACAACAAATCAACAATACACAGTAATAATGACAATAATGATTACGATGTTGTTCTTATTCACCTTGGAGGTAAGCATATCCAAAGCTGGGTAGACATCAGTCTCAAGATCCATTGTCCTGGCAGCAAGAAAACTGCAGATGGCTTCTAAAGCAATCTCCAAGGCCCTGAACTCAAATGGAGATTCTGCATAAATTCAGGCAGAAGTAAAATTTTACATTAGGGGGAGGGAAGACAAAACATAACTCAACATGTTATCAAAGCAAAAAGTCCTACTTGACAAAAATGTAAAGGATACCATCTTCTTCAGCTGTTTCAACATCATGCTGAGCATTGGAATCTTTGCCTTCCCCTTGATCTTCATGATTTGCAATTACGGGCTTCAGGCATCTTCTGAGTTCCTCAACTACAGGAGTAACGTTTTCGTCTGATGGATCACGAAGAAGCACCTGGACATCCCAATAAAGTAATCAAATTACCTCCCTTTGTGATTTCAGAAGAAGAATATAACTATGCTTCTATGAGAAAATTTCTCTATAGCATAACTAAAAATGACAAAACTAAATATTCCATAACAATGATCCACAGTGATTATAAAGCCTATAAGAATCACAAATGGACTCCAAATTGAAAGAGAAGTGCACAAAGATTACCTCTTCAGATGTAATAATAGCCTTGATATGCTGCCCTTAACAAAAAGAAAAAAAGATCAGTAAACGAAGTGATAAGACCACGAAAGATCATCAACTTTAAATTGGAACCAAGTTATTTGATCAGGAAGTGAATTGAACAATCAGTGACAAGAATACAAAAAATACTAAAGAGAGAAACAGAGAGCCTATGAAACTTAATGCCTTCTAATTACCGAAAAAAGCACTAAACTTCAAGCTTTAAATTGAAAGGGGCACTCAATTCAAAGATTCATAATCACAGTAGAAGAAGAAGAAGAAATGAAAAGAGTAGGAGAAGGAAGTGAACCTCTAAATTGAGAACAATGGCGCGTTCACGGCCGAGTATAGTGGAGGGATAGGAAAGAAGGGGATCGAGAATCCGGAGATCGCGCGCGTGGATTTGGACTCGGTGCATGATAGCGTACTTGTCGACATCGAGAAGAATCTCCTGGCCGGAAGCGTCCATCAGCAGCCAGCTCCGCGACCCGGCAACTTTCTTCTTCGGATCAGCCGGCACCAAGTAGCCGCCCTCTCGACCCATCACCATCACTAACCATCCCCAGAGAAAACAACGACCTCGACCCAAAAATCCAACTTTATACAAGATTGCTATCTGGGTATGATGGTCGTACTATGTACGTAAGTAAGATACGTATGCAACGAATATGCACGTTCCGCAAGTGGTAGGAGAGAGCAAACCCTAACCATTAGAGAGAAAGGGATCACATGGCTATAATGAAATCCAAATCAACAAATAGGGGTGGCTGGGTCTTGTTCGTATTTGTATGGATGAAAAAGGTGGAAAACAGAGAGCGGGAGCCGGGAGGGGAATTTCTGTGTATTGCCTCGCGGGCCTGGCCTCAGCAGCCGCCATCAATTGTATCTCCTCTTTCGGTATTCTCCAACATACGTATTTTCCAAAAATAGATTTTCTTTTTACGTGCATTTACTCCTCCTTTTGAGCGTTTTGTTCAGCAGTATTTGAGCAATGGTGTGCACGGTAGAAATAATTTATTTTTCATTCTTATTTGAATGATTTTATATAATACGAATTATTGATAAAAAAAAATCTGCAATGTTAAGAATACTGTTTAGAGGTAGACATTGTAATAACCAGCTAATCGCTAACACACAAACAACTAACAGCCGATTGACAAACAAGACCTAAATGTAAACGTAGTAATATGATGTATTGGAAATAATATAAAAATGGTATTGGAAATATTGAAATAAAGTGATGTATTGAAAACAATAAAAGGGTTTATTTGGTCCTTTTCCCAAACTTATACTACGTAATAAACTAATATTTAAGGATGTTTTTACTTGGACAGTAATTCGTCCCAGACCAGATCAGACCAGACCAGACCAGACTTGGATAGTTATAAAAATACAAAGAAACCAGACCAGACCAGACCAGTTCAGACCAGACCAGACCAGCAAATTACAGTTCAAGTAAAAACATCCTAAATCATACTTCATTTGTTCTTTTTAAAATGCAGCCGTCCACTTTTCACGTTTGTCAATGAATAAGTTTGACCATTAATACTCTTTCTTACCTTATTAGTAAAAAATTATTAAAAAAATAGATTTTGAAACTTTAAAATGAGAAGAATTTAACAAAAAATAAATAAATTTAATTTATAATACATTAATAAATAAAATAGAGTCAAATTAGAAAATGTGAATAGTGAAAAAAGTCCAATGTTGCACTTAAAAAAGAACAAAAGGGGTACATATTAAAATGAAGTACTCAAAATTATTTTAATATTATAAAATAATACATTTTTTGAATAATTAACGATCATAGTTAATAAAATTTGACTCAAAAAATCAAACTGTGAAAGACGCAGGGTGTAACAAACAAGGATAAAACTTTGCAAATATTGTCAGAGTTAGGGATACACTTTCATGGCTAAAGGAGCAAGGGTGGGACTCAGTGGATGTGGAGTCAGATGCGTTGATGGGCTATCATCGACGGGTTTGGTAGCTAAAGATATCCAGGAATTGGTTTCATCGTTTGCAAGTTTAACCTTCTCTCATGTTAGGCGTTCAGCGACTCATGCACTTGCTAAGACGGCGTGTTTTGTGTGTGTTTGTCAGAGTTGGATGATTGATCCTCCTAAGTTTAGTATTCATGTATTACACAATGACTTGATTGATGTTATGATTGTTATCTAAGTTTATTTATTTCAATAAAAAAATTGGGAATGTTGAAATGCAACTACGGTCACGCACCAATACTATTACTATAATTATAGCCCTTGCAATAATTCTAAAGAGTACATTTCCATTTACTTATACATTATTTGTCTACGTTTATAGATGGCACATTGCATTTGTCGGATGTTAAAACGTGACTTCATTCGGGAAAACCCTAGCTACGCGGTGATTTCGACGGGCCTCCGGAGCGGCAAATTTGAACGGCTTCATAAGGCTGATTCAGTTACTAAAGGCGACGGCGCTATTAGGGAGTCCTGGAGTTTCAATTCTTCGGTTTACAAGTTGTGATTTTGTTTTTCTTCGTGCTTCGACTGATGTTTTGTATCCGGGCATTTTCGTTCCGTGTCTTTGTTTCCAGCTAAATTTGGCTGAGGCTGATTGTTGTGATTCCCTGCTTGAACACTCGACTGGTGCTTGTTTCTTGTTCTGTGGAAAACAGTGATTTCAATTGAATTCTAGTTGCATATTTTCGGTATTTAAATTTGCTTTGTGTTTTTTGAGATTTGATTTGAGCTGTGATGGAGATAATTTCGAGAAATGTTAGCATGCTTTCAATTGCCGAGGAAGAAAATAGGGGTCTAGTGCTAGCAGCTGACCCGGTGGAGGATGCGGATGGGATTACAGAGGGATTCAATCTAGCGGCTATGGCTAGGGTGGTGTCCGACAAACCTGTTCGTGCCGTTTCGTTTTGCCAAACAATGGCTATGGCTTGGCAACCAGCAAGGGAGTTTCTATCGATGAAATTGAGGATTCTAAATTCCTTTGACAATTTTATCATGAAGGAGTTCTGAATAAAGTTGTTGATGAAAGGCCTTGGTCCTTTGAGCAGAATCGGGTGGTTATCAAATGTTTGGGGCGTACTGATAAACCTCTGGAAGTTCCACTGGATAATGCGGATTTCTGGGTTCACGTTCGCAACTATGGCTTTGACTAGACGCATACAGGTTAGACAAGAGGGCGATAGCTGGACCTAAATATTTGATACGAGAGACTCTCAAATTTCTGTTTTCTCTGCGGGGTTCTTGGTCATGCTGACCGGTTTTGTCCATCTAATCCGCATGGTGGTATATGAATCGGGGAGAAGCCTTATGGGCCATGGTTACAGGCTGATATGAGGTGAGGAAGAGCGCATCCGGGTAACATGTGGCTTATTCCTGGCAGGAACAAGCTTGGAGACAGACGGGAGGAGAAAGTTGAGTCTGATAAAGTGACAAAGAAACATTAAAGCTATATGGTGGAAGGACTCCTGTCAAAGGGGAAGGAGATTGCTACAACCCTGGATGCACCAAGAAAGTGTAGGGTCATTGAGAAAGATATCGAGGCGAGGGCACAGGCTAGTATGGATATGGATGAAGAAAACTCAAAAAAAAATGGAAGTGGTGGTGTTGTCCGGTCAGCATCGCCAGTAGCAGGAGAGTGCAAGGATAGGAATGAAGTACCCTTAGCGGAGGCTGGTCAAACCGCTATTCACTTGCCAGTGGCTGGAGAAACTGGATTATGTTCCTCTTTTAATTTTTCATTATTTCAAAACTATGTTGTGTTTTTGAAGTTCCCTTTTAGTAGGAGGTGCAACCGTGCTGTGTATGGAGTCTACCAAATGTGGGGTTAGTGAGATGGACCGCTAGTAAGTGCGAAACCAGCTCTGAGTCTCACCCCAGTGTAGCCTTTGTGATGGCAACCTTGTATCTGGTTCTCAGTTTTAATACTCCCTCCGTCTCATAAAATAAACCCCACTTTCCTTTTTGGGCCGTCCCAAAAATTTGTTCCCATTTCCTTTTTTGGAAAGTTTTGTGTGGCTAACATTCATTTACCTTTTTCTTACTCAACCACAACCATACATTTCCACTTTGTTCCCACTTTCTTAAACTCCGATCTAAATTGAAGTGTGACTTATTTTATGGAACGGAGGTAGTAATAATTAAGTTATCTTTTGCCAAAAAATTGTGACTTCATTCGTAAAACATATATAGAACAAATGAGCACTTATCTCGTTTGGTGACCCTGTTTCTTGACTTATCGGTCAACTTTTCACCAAACACATAAGTTTTGATTTCACGTGTTGCATTGTGTAATAATCAAAATTAGTAAGGTTGGGGTTATATTTTGGTTGATCGAGCTCCCTCAACCCGTTGAGTCTGATTGAAAAGAAAGGGTTGGAAAGCAAGCTTGTATTTTTTCTAGTTGTTTTACTTTAGATTTAATTCATACTACAATATACCGGAGTACTTTTTAATTTACAAGTTAATTTGTTTTTTGGAACGAGGGAGTGCCTCTTTAGTTTGGTTCAAGTATTATCTTGTTAGAAGCATTAAAGCTAGGATTGAATTTGTCTTCAAAGCTCTCTCATGGTTAGTGACGATCCACATGGTATGAGACATTCATTCATTTATCTGCTCAGAGAGTGAGAGGACATTCGGGTTTGGAATGATTTGGGAAAAGGACGTGGTTTAGATTCAGAACTATGATCATTTTAATGTCGATACAGGCATTTTAAATTCAAAATAATAACAAGAACAACAACATTAATAGTGATAATAATAACATATAATACTGTACATTTTATCAAATACGTGTGCCAATGTTTTCTTTCCAAAGTAGTAGTCATTCACTCATATTGGAGGAAATATTTATTATTTGAGAGAATTTGACTTTGAACCACACTTTGCACCCCATTTAAAAAAACTTTGACTTAGCTTTGCACCCCATTTAACTTAAAAATCCTTTCACGTTGCATCTCATTTAGAATTTTTCTGCATAAAATGTTTTGTGTTGGGGTGCAAAATCAAAGTTTTTTCAAAAAATAGAGCGTAAAATCTAATATCAACAAAAAAGTGTGGTGCAAAGTCAAAATCTCTCTTATTATTTTGATATAAAGAAGTAAATTTTATTTTGAGTATACAGTAGGATGTGATCCACTTGAATGGCTACGGCTCCACTTGACCTGACAAGATACTAATGTTGATATTGATGTTGTGAAAAGCTGAACATAGTTCTTTTTTGCATATCATACTTTGTGTTTACATTTCTTTTTTATTTTTTGCACTTCAATAGAGAGTTTTTTTTTGAATTAATGTTAATTAATTAATTAATTACGAAAATAATGTTGGAAAAAAAGTATTCACCGATCTACTACTGGATTTAACCATTGTCAGCGAAAGTCGCCCAACGGTTGGACGACTTATAAGTCGCCAAACAGTTTGGCGACTTATAAGTCGCCCAACCATTGGGCGACTTTCCCTTGCATATGAACGCAAGCCAGCAGCTACTGCCAGCCACGCACGATCGTGCCTGCAAAGGGCACGATCGTGCCTAATTCCGAAAACAGAATTTGAGCATTTTTTTTGCCCCAGTTCAACTCAAACTCACCTGTTTGCTATAAATAAGGTCTCCCTTCTCCTATTTAAGTGTTATGAGCCAGATACAACACATTATAAAACATACAACACACCTGTTCACAAACACATACATAACACCTACTCTCAACAACATATAAAACACCTTGTAAAGACCCTTTACAAATCGAATACAAAACATTAAATTCATAACCCGTAAAACACGGTACAATCATCCAATATTTATAACAAGTAATCATCTAATATTCATTCTCAAACACATCAACACAACATACAAGAGTTTAGAAGAGAAAATAAGTAAAATGTTGTAAATTGTTCCTACAACATCTATTGTACAAGAAAAGCTGCAATACAAAAGGCAAACTACAAGTTCTCATGGTCTTCTTGATCGTCTTGGTCATGGAGATGTTGCTGCTGATGTCTACGCCTACGCCGTGGTCGTGGTTGAAGAACCACTCTCTCATGCTGCGTCTGGGATGATGAAGACGTCGTTGTCATCTCCATGCCTACAAACAAACAAAATCGTATAAGTTAATTTTTAATATTATACTAATTCTTTTTTTTAATCATCCATTTTATTAATTAATATGTTTTCATGCAACGCTAAGATGAATTGTGAATTACTATAATTAAAACCTTACCCACTAGACCCCCCATCGTGTCTTGACGATCTCTTCGCACATGTGGCCCTATTATGGCCGCTTTGGTGGCATTTTCAACATCTAACCGTTCCTCGGGGACCTTCATCCATCTCATTCTTAATACGTGTCGACTTAGGTCTTCCCTTAGCCCGAAGCATGGATGGATTGGGAACTATTTCAAGTCCATTGTAAGTAGGTCAATAATCACGATCAGGAATGGGTTTGAAGACTCTATGATATGTGGCCGCGTATTGATCAGATGAGAAAAACTTATCCACAAATGGAGCATAAGACAAGCTACGTTGTCTGCACACGGCTAACACATGGGAGCATGGAATCTTATATATCTCCATCTTTTTACAAGCGCAAGTTTTCCGTTTTAGATGGACAGTTTGTTTTCTCCCACCCTTCCCCAACGTTCGGCCACCACAACCCGTTTCCACTTGAAATATCCCTCGGCCTAAATCAAATGGAGTAACTGTGTGATGCTTCGCCTTCTCTCTATTCTTATCAATTAAATCTGTGATGTATGGAGAGTACTCGTGGCCTTCTGTCACTCTCATTTTACTGGTTTCACGCCTATTAACAAAATACGCATTAACCCGGTAAAAGGAAACCTGGACCAAAGCGGTGACGGGCAAATATCTGACATTTTTCATCACGCTATTGAAAACCTCATCCAGATTAGAAGTGATGTGATGTGAGTTTTCTCGCACTTAAAAAGATTGTAGAATAGCGGTGAAAGTACGAGTATCGTCTCCACAGGGACGGTAAAAAGGGAATTAAGGACTAACTAAAATCAGCGGTAAAGAAAAGAAATAAAATAAATGCAGTCGTGCGATATTTGGTTGATTGAGAAAACTAAAATTGCAAATAAACGAATAAAAATAAAAAATTGGGTTCTTCTTAATTAACGACGAAGGGAACAGGGATTGATTCCGGGGTAATCAGATTTCTGACAGATCAGGCTTAATTACATGAAATTAATTTAATTGAGCCTAGCTGATCAATTCTAAGTTCTTACCGCTCTCGCAGCATAGAGTACAATTATTTAGGGGACCAGGCTGATCTCTCATGCGACATGATCCTAAATTATTGCCAAGACGAACGAGCTTACGGCTCCTTAATCGCTACTAATCTCTTAGCAAACGATTAAGTGTGCGTGAATGTGTCCTAGAACAAATTAGATCTCTCTTAATTTATTCTATGTGCAATTGTAATTCTAGTGACCATTCTAGGTTATAAAAGATATCAGTTAAATTGTTCAAACACAAATTAAACGATATTCATGCAATTAAACCATCAAGAACCTAGTCATTTATCATCATTAACCCCTTCATCAATCCCAAATCCCTAATTAAAACTACTCCCGACTCATAATTGAAAAATCAATAGAATTAGGAAGAATAGAA